AGGGAGTTGGGTTTTACCTATTTTTTATGAGTAAGGCCACTTTCACAGGGGCTGATCAGGAGGGGATCTGTGCATGGATGTCTCAGTGCACTGCTGTGACATCCGTGTCCGTCCAGTTTTTTCCTCCATCTTGCAATGGGGGAAAGAACTAAAATTGCCAGACCCCATGCCGGTCTGTGTGGAGTCGGATGTAAACGGATATGTGTCCATTTAGATCAGATCAATCTGGCAAAAGGGAAAAGTAGCACTGTGCAACGTCCATACAAACAGAATAAGAACGAGCAGCGAAAATTACACACAGTGTACAGACAAGAGAAGTAGTACTATGCTGGAACCATATACATAGAGCATAAGAAAAGATAGCGAGAATTACACCCAACATACAGGACAAGAGAAATGGTACCGTGCAGAGTCCATACATACAGAATAAGAACAGATACACCCAACATACAGGGCAAGAGAAGTAGTATTATGCAGTGTTGATACATAGAGAATAGTGGGCCACCCTGATGTAAGGCCCTGTTCCTGCTCATAAGGAACTGTTACTGCTTCTTTTGTTGGTGGGTGGGGGTGGAAATACAATTTGTTTCCTTAAGGGGTCACCACATGCCTTTAGCTAGATGTTATTTATAGTCAGGAGGGTGAAGTTCCAAAAGTCAAAGTGAATAAAGGATAGTGATGAGCCGAACACCCCCGTGTTCGGTTCTAACTCGAACTTTCGAACATGGAAAAAGTTCTAACTCGAACTTAGAACTCAATGCAAGTCTATGGGGGTAGAACTCAGAAAATTAAAGGTCCCCATTTTGAAGCCTTATATGCAATTTATTGGCCATGAAAAGTGTATGGGGATCCGGGTACTGCCCTGAATGACAGGAATCAATGAAATTTAAAACAAAAAAAACCCCAAAAAATATTTTTTACAGGAACTGTGATTTTTACATGATTTACAGGGTAAGAGTAAAAATGAAATTCTGTATATCTGTATTGCTGTATATCTGTATTGCTGTATTGCTCTATTGCTCGCTTGCTATATTGCTCTCAATCTCCTTCAACACACTACACAGGGCCGCGGTGTCAGCAGCCTTATATAGTGTGCTGCAGGGACTTAGCTGTGAGACATGATTGGGCAGAGTCATCGTGACTCTGCCCAATCATGGCTCTATATTTGTACTGAGCCCTGATTGGCACAGTCTTGCACCTGACCTGCGGTCAGGTGCAGGACTGTAGCCAATTGCCGCTTCGGACGGCGCAGTGCATTGTGGGATGTGCCGCGGTCGAACAGACCGCGGACATCCCATAATGTTCGGTGTTCGGCGTACATGGTGTACATGGGTTCGACTCGAACGCGAAGCTCATCCCTAATAAAGGACAGAGAAGCAGAGTAGTGAAAGCAAGCTGGCGTTCATATGCACCCTCGTGGGAAAGATAGGGCCTCAACATCAAGAAAGTAATAAGTTCCCAGAGTCACAGTGTTCCCCTTTGGGCGAATGCCGCATTTTCTTTCCTGAGGAGGCCCAGTCAGTGTTCCCTGAGACCTCTATTGAGAAAGCACTCTTTAGTGCGCAAACAAACTGAAAGTGGTAAGCCATGAAAGCTGGAACCATTTTAAATATAGACTGTTTTGTTGCTATACCTCATATAGTAAGGAAGATTTAAAGATGAAGGTGCCTTGAGTCTTGTAATTCCCACGGATCGGAGAGTAGCCTATTTCTGGGGAAGTACAGACTTTGAATGTGGCTTGTTCAGGAGACTGGTGAAGGTAGGATATCCAGCCTGGCAGTGGTGATGGTCCTTTGTCTGAAACAGCTGATTTTTAGGCCAGGTGTTTGGTGCAATCACTGACAGACCTGCCCTGCAACCATGGAGTTTGAGGGCATCTTGCAGCAAAGTTGTGACTATGTGTATATGTTTCCTGGTGTGACCCATTGGCTGAGAAAGTGGAGCCAGAGCTATGGTGTTCCAGCACCTGGCACATAAATAAAGCCACTACTGTCAGATAGAGTGAACTCCGCCAACAGTACAAGTAGTTCTGGACACTAAAAGAGGCCGCAGCCGCCACACCATGGAGGTGGTTGATCAAGTAAGAAAACCACTGAACACCAATAAATAGCACTGCCACTGACCACTAGTGAAGGTGGGCAATTTAATAGCACTTCCACCGATCACCAGTAAAAGGGGCCCATGTATTAGCACTGCCACTGAATAAAGTGGAGTTATTTATTACCAATGCCTAGGATCACCAATGCAAGGGGGTTATTTAATAGCACTGCCAATGACCACTAATGAAGAGAAGTCATAAAACAGGACTGCCACTGACTCCCAATGAAGAGAAGTCATAAAACAGGACTACCACTCAACACCAATGAAGAGGGGCCATTTAATAGCACTGCCACTGACCACCAATGAAGAGGGGCCATTTAATAGCACTGCCGTTGACCACCAATGAAGAGAGGTCATTTATTGCACTACTACTGACCACCAATGAAGATAGGCCATTTATTGCACAGCCACTGACCACAAGTAATACAAAGCACAACATTCCTCCACAAAGCTTTTCTACGGATGCCCTTATGGTGGCCACAGACATGTCAATAAAAATAATTGAGTCAATAGAAACTATCAAAACACACATGATCATCTGCTGAACATGGCCATTTGTGATTGATCTTCAATTGATTGTATCGGTTTTGCCTGATTGGGGTTCATCAAGGGAAATCAACATTCGGTTGAAATCAATCAATTAGTTTTCAGCCCCTTTAAACTTCGAATTGGTTAATTTGGAGATTCCATATGTAGTTTCTATGATGCAATTGATGACTTACGATTGTGGCGCCTCAGTCTCATGATCACATTTGCTATGTATCTTACCGATCGTATAAATATTGATCACTTATCAACATGTCTGTGGCCACCATTACACTAGACCTGACTGTTCACTATGGGATAGTGCTTTACAGCGTCTACTAATTCTACCCGACAATATTGATAGTAAACAATGACACAGTGCGGTATGACTTCTGCACATTAAAATGACACTAAACTCAAGAGTTAAAGAAGAACTATGGGGTTAGTGCTTTTCCCCATAGTTCTCCTTAGGGTAACGGGAGGACACAAACTAGCGTCCTCCCGTCACCCTAAGCTCAGTATACCACAGCTCGCGGTATACTGAGACGCCGCAGCTGAAGCGGATCCCGACAATTATGTCTGAATCCGCCCAGCTGCGTGAGTGACAACTGGCTCTGCCTATCTAGAGGCAGAGCCAGCGGTACCCGCCCACTCCCCCGTCCGTTCCGCCAGTCATCGCTGGAGGATCAGAGCGGGGAGGGGGGAATCGAGTTGATAACACTAAACTGATGAGCGGTAACAGCTTTTAAAGCGTCGCCTAGGGCCAATTTTGGGTATTATCGTTTTTTGAGGTTTCGCGCGCGCACGCAATTTTAAGGCTTGACATGTTTAGTGTCTTTTTACCTGACGTGACCCCATCTTTTATATTTTACCAAAAAATTGGGTAATAATAAATGTTTTATCATTTAATATAGGGGAAACTGTTTTTTTTTTAAAATTTCGGTAATTTTTCCTTAATATAGTAAAAAAATAAAACCCCCAGTGGTGAATAAATACCACCAAAAGAAAGCTCTATCTGTCCCCAAAAAAGGGTATAAAATTCATTTCAGTACAGCGCTGCATGACGGAATAAATGTCAGTCAAAGTACCGCAGCGCTGAATACTGAAAAATGGCCTGGATGGGAAGGGGGTTTAACACCGCGGATGTCAACTGGTTAAAGCAGCAATGGGGGGGGATGTGACTTTAACGTGACTTTACCTATTAACAACAAATGTATCTTATTTGGGTATCACTCGGCTGTAGATCCTCAAATCATGAATGGTGCTGACACTGTCCTTCCTTCTGGAGGGTGGCTACTTTTGTTCCCCATTGTCCCTGTGTGTTGTAACGTAGTCACCACTCCAAGCTCACTTCTGTGATAGACTACAATCTCTACTTTAGTTTACTAATGAGTGAGCTTGGAGTGGTGACTACTTTACAACACACACAGGGACCATGGGCAACAAAAGTAACCACCCTCCAGAAGGAAGGACAGTGTCAGCACCAATTAAGGCAGTGGTAGCCAAACCCTGGCCCTCCAGCTGTGGTGGAACTACAAATCCCATGAGGCATTGCAAGATTCTCACAACCACAAACATGACTTCCGGAGAGAGATGCATCATGGGATTTGTAGCTTTACCACAGCTGGAGGGCCGGAGTTCGGCTACTCCTGAATTAAGGCCTTGTTCACACCGAAAGCTTGGGGCGTGGAAACGCTCCTATTGAATTCAATGCATCGCCACGCCCCCTCCCGCCCCAGAACGCGGGGGGAAGTTTCTTAGCGATCACGGTGCGTTCCAGCAGCTACCGCTCTGGAACACACACGCTTTCGGTGTGAACAAGCCCTCAGAGATGATTTGAGGATCTGCAGCCGTGTGATACACAAATAAGATACATTGTTATTCATAATTGAAGTACTTGAACCAATTTTTAAGATTTAACTCCTGAGTTTAGTGTCACGTTATGATAAATAAGCTTAGGATTTTCCTGGTGGTGTGTCTTTGGAATTTCTGAGCAGCGGTCACTGTTGTTAGCTGGCTATAAAAATGTGAACAGCAAGTTTTCAGTGCTGCAGATCGTCTCAGAAGTGTGCAATAATTTAAAAAACATGCTAAAACTTCCATTTGTTTCCTCAAGGATAATATAATGTTTTGTAATACTTTCACTGTATTTAATATTCAAAACCAAACACAAATATGTTAGTGGACAAAATAATAAACAAATAAAACAGTCAGTGAGCCTCTTCCAAACAGAGAGGGTAGTGGGGAAAGATGCAGGAAGTGACACACAGCTCTGTATCCTAGCAACCACACATGGGGACCGCCGATTACGTCACATCCGAGGGAGGAGTCCCCGGGGCCAGCCCAATCACAGTTTGGGGACTGCAGACCTCTGGTGTACATCCTATTACCGTACAAAGAGGCCGCCCAGTCGCCGCACCCGGGTAACTTCACCTAGAGACTAACACAATCATCATAACTAACACTGACAATACCGGAGGGTACGCTGTGCTTCCCGATAGAGGGAGAGACTCTGCGTGGTGGGCCAGGGCATGCTGGGACTTGCAGTTCCTCTGCTGCTTGAGCCCCCATCAGTATACGAGTACGCTTTACTTTCTGTTAATGGACTGTACTAAGAGTAATATGAAGTCAGCCATTGCTGACTTTTCCTTAAAATGCTTTTTGCCTGGCACTCTCTGGCTTCAGTTGTACACTGGATAAAAGGAGCATTGCATGCAAAGCTTCGGCTCTGCATACTTGTCCCTGGTCTGTACCACAGGATGCAAGGAAGCCATTGGATCAGTTTGACAGTCAATCACTGAACTACCGTAGTATTTTCAGAGGCGGAGGCCATTGGTGACAGCCGGTAATTACTTTTAGGACTCGTTTACGCCACACAGCCGCCCTGAACGCAAGGCTGCTGGTGCGCGCTGGGAGGAAGAGTGCTGATACTGGTGCTTTACACTGTTTACTCTTTTTTTTTTTTGGTTAGAACTTTATTGAAATTGCACAACTCAGTTCTGTACATTGTGATGCGGCAGTTTGTGACGCAACTCACTGCGCTGAAAAAAGTGACGCAAGCTGCACTTTCTTTTCAGTGTACAGTGTTGGGGGGTGCTCACTAAAAAAAATGTGGCATGTGCAGCGGAAATCAATACATTAGACCAATACAGGATGTGCGGTGAGGTCTATGGCAGGGGAGGCCCCCCCTGCCCTCCCCTTAGGCCCCATCACCCTGTGGAGGAGGAAGGCAGCAGCCTCCCCGTCCCTCACTTGCTTGTCACTGATAAGGCATCTAGATGGATGCTGTCAGTGTTTTTTCTTTTTTTTTTTTGATTGGATGGCTTGGACCAAAGGTGGTTTACCATTGGTCCAAACCATCCACAGGGCTCAATCCTCTGACTCCAAGTCAGAGGCTGTTGTAGCTGGGGCCTCACTGTGTTAGGTTGCGCACAGCAGCTGCTGTGTAACCTACCATAGCTGTCAAAAGCCGGATGGAGCACCACCTGTAATTAGCAGGCAGCGCTCTGTCCATGACAGGTTGCACGTGGGGAGGCTTTCCCTGCTGTGTAACCTGTAAGAAGCCAGTCTGGATGGAGAAGAAGTTGTCAGCTTCAGACTGAAAATCCCTGCAACAATCTCATTTTAAAGCAGGCCTTTTGCCTTATCTATGCGCTGGGACTGTGCTGGGCAATGCTGTCACTGCAGCCCCAATGCATCTGATGTGAACGAACCCTTCAAGTTGGCCAAAACGTGTGGTTTGCATAGAGAAAGAAAGAGTAAACACCCCCCCACCCCCGCCGCTGTCTGTGTACCATTGGGGAAATTTCACTTCACTTCCTGTCCCAGGGAAACAACAGGACATTGGAGGAAATCTCCCAAAGTGATGGGAATTCCTCCCTAGAGTTGCCCCTGGCACTGGTGTCCCCTCATCTCTTGTTCTTGGGACAACTGCATCATGTCTTTTTTCCTCTAAATCACCAGTACAAATAGAGAGGGTAAATATCCCCATTGGGGACACGTAGCAATAAAAACTTGACAGAGGGTCTAACTCTTCCCAACTCTATCCAAAACAGAAAAAAAAAGTTTTGCCTAGAGCAGGGGTGGCCAATCTCCTTGCAATGCCTCTTGGAACTTGTAGTTCCACAACAGCTGGAGGACCGGAGTTTGCGCACCTCTGGCCTAGAGATTCACTTTAATGCATTTGATGCTGTTAAAAAGGGATGTTACTTAGAGAAATACGGAGTCAGCCATTGCTGACCATTTTCCTGAAAATGCTGGTCGCCCGGCACTCTGTTGCCTTAGTGATACACTAAACAGAAAGAAGTCTTTGGGTGACAGAATGCAAAGCTTCTGATCTGCATACTTGTTTCTGGTCTGTGACAGAGGATACGCTGAAAGCGGAACTACAATCCTCTCCTCCTGCGCTGTGTTTTAGATTTATAGTTGCATCTATCTATCTATCTATCTATCTATCTATCTATCTATCTATCTATCTATCTATCTATCTATCTACAGTACATCAGCACCGTGTCTAGATTAGGCAAACTGCTAACAGTTGTTTAATCATTGGCTTATCAGTGGCATGCTGTGACTGTCACCTCCCCGGTAACAGCATCAACAACATCAATCTGCACCCAGGTAACCGGTATACACTCAGCAGTAGTGTGGATGGTGAATACCTGGGAAATGTTCATATGACTCTCATGTTTTATATCCGCAGAGAACAGACGCTGCTGCCCAAGTGCCTGCAAATACCTGTAAGTATCTACATTGAGTATGATGCTCCAGATTCAATGTTTTCATGTTCCTTTGGCCTCCATTGTGCTTGATATGTGCATTGTATGGGTGCTTAGAACCTGTTGAATGCAGACACTGTTCAATATTGAAAATAAAAACTTGTAATGTAAATGGAGAAGGTAAGCTGGGAGCAGTTGCAGAGCAGTGTGAACATGCAGGTCAGGTATTCCCAGTCTCAGTTACTGTATACCCTGTGCTCCTTCTCACATACAGAGGAGTTTGCTAGGGCTGCAGCTAACAATTATTGTCATAATCGATTAGCTGCCCGATTATTTTTTTGATTAGTTGCATTAAAAAATCAATCCCTCTCTCTCCCCCTCTTCTCTCTCTCCTCTCTCTCTCCCCCTCTTCTCTCTCTCCTCTCTTAACAAATCAATAATAACAATAGTTGCCAACTATTCTCATAATTGATTAGTTGTTGCAGCCGTAGAGTTTGCACACTGTAAAATCATGCACCATGAACAGCTCTTTCACCAACACCATCTCCTAAACTTCGAACACCTAAAGTAACTCCTTAACTCCCCATTCACACCTTGGGGTACTGTGAACGTGCGTCGCGTTCCCGTCTGTTTTCTGTGTCATCGCCCTTTTATTTCACACGCGATAGACACAGGAAAGTAGCTCATGCAGCATTTACAGCTGCCAGTGTCCCACATTTTTATCCTGCATGTTTGTGCGCATTCAATGCGTGCCAACACATGGGGAAAAAATGCTAATTTTCCCGGCCATGTTTAGGGTGCCATTAACAAGTACTGGCATGTCAAGCGCGTTGCACGTTTTTGAAGTTTTTCATCCATGCACATGTATAGCGCGCGTTCACTAAAGGAGAAGGTGTAAACAGGGACTAAAGTGTATCTCCACTTTTGCAACCCCATTGGGAGAACACCTACTTTATATTTGTTACATGTTCTCAATCACATTGCATAACCTAAAAAATACACTTGGCTTTTTTAATCTTTCGTTGGGCTGAGCGAGAAAAAAACGCTCATTTCCCACGTCTTTGATTAGCGATATCCCTGGCAGCTATTGTATTCTGACAGTCAGCGCCCATGGCTCTCAGAATACCCAAACAGTTCCTTTGACGGCTCCTTTGACTAAAGTTAATTGGAAAATCGTCTTTGCTCGAACGGAGGGGTGCCGGCAGGGCCACACACAGCTCTGAATATCAAGCAGTGTATGACCAGCTTTAGCTTTCCCCTTCAATGTAATGTTAAGAAGGGAGCTGGGGAGTAATGTTTACCATAATTAACCCTGTCTGTACTGTGCTGGCGGATCTCCATTATTAGTTCTAAACTAGATGTGTAGGACCGTCTGTCCTAACAAAGGGTAAAGATCTCAAGGCTCCGGTGATGCATTGTATAGTAGTGCACTTTCAAACCAATGAGGTACCCTCATGTATGTGCACCTACCTTACACAGAGTGCGCTGGGAGCTTCAAAATCTTAGAAGTTCTGTAATGCAAATCTCAGCAATTTCCAGCCTACATTCTAGTGACGGTTTGCCTTACTATCGATTAGCGATTCCGCATATTATACTTATGTAGTAAGATGTAGGGTTGTGGTTATGGAGCTCTCATAGGGCTCTACATGGTAGGTAAGAAAACTCAAGGTGTCTGCTTTCTATATCTGCTGCCCCTGTAGCTCTTATAAGGCTGGGTTCACACCTGCGTGATACGTGACCGTGTGGCAATTGTGCACGAAACCGCGCGGATTGCTGAGCGGTCAGGGAGTTGCCCACCACAGCTAATCACACTGGCGTTGTCATTATTTCCCCACCCCAGTCACGCTGGACGGATCGCACGGTTTCCCGCCGCAATTCTGCCCACGCAATGAAAAAAAGCAGCGTGTCGCAAAAAAATAGGGTACCTGTACCTTGTTTTCAGCGATTGCCACATGGATGTAATCCCATTGAAATCAATGGGGCTGCGCAGCAACCAGTGTGTGCACCCTCACATGATCGCGCTCCCTGGGATCGATCAGATCTGAGCCTAGCCTAAATTGTCCACAAGATCGCTGTAACAATCAGCTTTTCTTCAGAGAACATCACTGCCATTAAGGGGTGATCTGTTGGGGTGCAGATTACAATTTATGTACGGGCTTCCCATGACTTCTTGCCCATGGAAACCACATCCAGATCATCTCCAGACCAGACCAGACCAGATTAGATTGTTTCCAGACCCAAAATGCATCCTAATGTATCCCTATGCTATTTCTGGCCTCTGTTCACACCAGTGCAGTCCATTCTAGACTAGACCAGAAAAATACTGCATGTCTCATTTTGTCTGGTTTGGAATGCACTGGAACACATGGAAACGCATACAAACGCACTGGAACACACCTGTAAGCCCATTTTAAAAACCCTCTCCTTAAAGCGATAAAAACACGGTAAAACTCAATGCACCGCGTTCCAGATCGGGTCCGGAAAAAGGAGTGAACCTTCCCTAAACTGGAGAACCACTTTAAAGGAGAACTATGAGGTGAGTGCTTTTCAGTCACCTCATAGTTCTAGCCCATCTGTGACAATGAGACTGTCACAGGTCGGCTCAGTAGATCGGGAGGTGAGCGAACACATACCGGCGTTCGCTTACCTCTCGATCCTGCCACGGCTCCCTGCCGTGACAGGGGAGGGGCTGGATTCCCCCATCCTCCACTCCGATCCGCCAGCGCTGACTGGCAGAACGGACGGGGGAGGGAGCGGGTACAGCTGGCTCTGCCTCTAGATAGGCAGAGCCAGCTGTCAGTCACGCAGCTGGGCGGATCCAGACATAATTGTCGGGATCCGCTTCAGATGCGGCCTCTTAGTATACCGCAAGCTACAGCTCGTGGTATACTGAGCCTAGGGTGACTGGAGGACGCTAGTTTGTGTCCTCCCGTTACCCTAAGGAGAACTATGGGAAAAAACGTTAACCCCATAGTTCTCCTTTAAGAATCTTCCTGTACCTTTTTCTCAGCTGGCAGTCAATACTTTTCAGACATGGAAGCAAAGTGCTCGCCATTGTAAGATCAGCCGCAGACATGATTTGTCCTAAGCAGAAAGTCCTTGAAGAGGTTTTTGGAATGCGTCCCATGGCTCCAAGTGCTCATAAATACAATTTCTACTGAATAATATGGCACTTCACCTAAGTGCTGTTATAAATATGTCATTATCAGTAAATGCAAGATTTATGACTAGCTGGTCCTATTACTGGATTATACTGAATGTTCCACTGTGCATGCATTGACATCAGACACAGTACAGTGATAGAATGCTTCCCTGCCATGTATTAATATTAATAGAACTTTATTTGTCTTTAATATTTGAATGATAAAGCAGATCACCAGAAAGGCTGCAATTTGTCACCGCAAACGGAATTGTTGCCCGACAGCGATTCAGCACATTCACATTTGTTGGGGAGCCGGGATGCGAAGCACGAGCCTATATTAAAGCAAAATAGAAGATTTATGATGTGCGCTAGGCCAGCTGTCATTCGCTGATCTTCCGGCTGATGTTGAAACAGAAGGCCTGGATTTTCTGATGTGCAGGGCAAGCTGAAAACTGATGAGTCCATAACAGCCTGAAAAACACAGATTGCGGTTCTGGGGTCTGCTCCCACCAGGGTTACTATCAGCGCATAGAGTCCTTAGGCTGGTTAATTGGCTTCCGCCCAAATAGCCACAAGTGTTTGTGACAGTGCGGTAATGACTTCAGACTCCTCGGGAGCATTGACGGATTCAGTGTTCTCTGTAAAATGCATTGGTCAGGGCTACTGTATGCAAATTTATGTAAATCAGATAAAGACTTCTGCATTAAATTCCCGATGAATACATGACCAGTAGAAGCTTGGCTTTTTGTGGCCCAGAGCGAATCGGTGGTCTAGCATTATGGTACAAGCAAAGACAAGTGCAGGGGGGTTAATAGGTACCTGGGGTCCCCTTCAACTTTGAACACTGTTTAAAATGTTAAAACAATAATTTGTATATAGTGACAAAAGTTGAAAGGACATTGTTTTCCAGTATTTAATGGTCACTATATTTAGTTAAAGTGTATCTCCAGCCAAAACCATTCTTGGGATTTTGATATATAAAAGGCAGTGTGGGTCAGGGGTCATTTACCCCTTTGACCCTGACTGTTGCTGACCATTAATTGCTTATTCGTACTAATTCCTGTTGGATGATCCAAGTATCAGATCAGTGCTGCGTGCACGGCCGTATTAGGCCGCTCCCAGGAAGATCATCTGCTGCGTATGGTTACATGCAGCAGCCTGTCCTTCTCTATGGGAGTACGCTGCCCTACGCTCACGTGAACTGCACGTCCTGTCTGGGTCCAAGCAGGGACACGTGGACCCGTACGGACGTGCACTTCGGGTTAGCGTAGGGCGGTGTAGGGCCGCGTACTCCCATAGAGAAGGACAGGCTGCGGTATGTAATCACACGCAGCACCTGTCCTTCCCGGAAGCATGCAGCACGGATCTGTACGGGCCGGCCGTTTCTCGTGTGAATGAGGACTTAAAGAGGTTCTCCAGGAAAGTATTAAAGGCAAAATCCACCCTTAACAAAATAATAAATGCAGGCTTCGTCATAAAGGAGAAAAATGGTCATTTGTTATTTTTTTTACATTGGAGCCAGTAAAGCATTGCAACCGCCATCAGTGGATTGCGAGTACAGACACGACAAAACCAGCACACAATGCTCTTCTGAAAAAAATGCTCTTCGGAATAACATTTTATTTTATTCCACATGCATTTGTAAAAAAAAACAACATAGACGGGAAGTATGAATGGAAGTGTGGTGACATCACCGTCCTTGTATTCCATTGAGATTTATAATCCCTTTGCCGTGGTGGTTGATGAGACTTCTTCCTCCACAGATCCTATCAAAGTAGCCGTAAATGGATGACGGGGCTGTGTGGGCAGAGCCACACCAAATTTAAAAACCAACAGCAGCCTGCGGGAAGAAGAACCCCAAGATTCAGGTAAGTGGTGGACAGGGGGAGGGTGGGGGATTTGGTATGTGACCATTTCTTTTATGCTACACCCATATTTAGGGGGTAACATGAAGCATGATCAGAAAAGTAAACTTAGCCTTAAGGGCTAGTTCACACCGGCCTGATTCGGTGGCGAAACGCACTGGATCGCATCCAGGCCGGATCACTGTGTTTTCCGGGGCGTGGCGGTTCATTGTGTATGATCGCCCGCACCAGATCACGTGGCACATCATTGCCTGCGTTCCAGTCTGGCGCGATCAGGAAAAATAGTGCATGCAGCATTTTTTCTGATCGCACCAGGACGATGTGCTCCGCATTCTGGTGCGGGTGATCGCACTGTGGGCGGGGGGCGTGGCTGCAGTGCCATTTGCTTCAATGCACCACCATGACCCCTCCCACCCCAGAACACAGTGAGCCGGCCAGAATGTGATCCAGTGCGTTCCGGCACCAAATCAGGCCGGAACGCACTGGGGCTGGTGTGAACTAGCCTTTAAACTGTTTTCGCTTGCCCACTGAATGGGGAGCTAGAGTGACGTATAGCCCTCAGCTCATTAACTCTAAGGCCTCGTTCACACCAGATGCAGTGCGTTCGGGCCCGATACTGGCCAGTACGCACTGCCTCGCACTGTGGCCGGCTTACTTTTTTGTGGGGAAAGAGGAGGTGTGGAGGTCCATTGAAGTGAATAGCACAGTGGCCGCAATGTGATCGGCCGCACGGGTTCGCAAGGCACATTATGGCTGCGGTCCAGCAATTTTGCTGCTATTTTGATCGGACCGCCTCCTGCCCCACAAAAAAAGTGAGCCGGCCGCAATGCGAGGCAGTGCATTCTGGCCAGAATCGTGTCGGAACGCACTGCATCTGGCCCTAAGCCCTTATCAGGGGTCGGTTGTGTTGTTTGGGTTGCTATTGACTTTTTTAGTTCAGTTTGTGGCACCTAAACTGATTTTTTTTCTAAGACCATGAATTTCGCCTGGAGCTCTGCCTTAATTTATCACCCTTCAGCGAAAAGCACCATTGTGTTATTTGGATTGCAAATCCCATTTGAACTTGTTTTTCTCCACCATTTCAAATGTGTTTTTAAACGGTGCTCAGAAACGCCACTTCACATCTTCAATCCTAACCAAACAATCCAGTGGAATAAAAGTCAGATCCTAATTGTTGTACAAAGCAATGTAATCATTTGTAATTGAATCGTCAGAAATGCAAATGTTATCTGCTTGACATTTCCTACCAGTCCCGTGTCTTTTTTAATTATCTTTATTAAAGTCAGGAGCTTACAAAGGGAATGCTTTACAATTAAACCCCAGTTTGTTACACTGCCTGACATTTACCTGCGATAGCCTTTTCTTTTAAACCTTGATGTTTAATTATTGTTTTTTTGTGGCCCCTCCAGGGATTTGTTGGGGGGGATGAAAAGAGACGAACGTTTGAACGGTGACCCGACGACAAAGGGAGGATGCAGAAACAGGTTAGAGATCTTGTTCTTGTTTGTCTAATGACAGAAGACGTTATGTAAAAGGTAGCCGAATCTCAAGCTCTTTTTCTATTAAATAAGAAACGATCCTCATTATAATTTTTTTTTTTTTGGTGTTGTTTCCGCCAGCAACTTTTACTGCCACAAATCCCTCTGCTCTAAAGAAAACAGACAGCTCAATTAGACTTCAATTAACAGTAAGTGTTTTTATTGCAAAGACACTGAAACTTCGCTTATATAATTGAAGTGGTAAGCTGTATACACTCTATTGTTCCCCATTTCCTGTTTTATATTATACGGGTCCCAAATATTTAGGATTCATATTGATAAATATGTGACAGGGTGAACTGGTTTGGGGCAATAAAAATATCCACTAAGCACTTTTTATATCAAAAATGCTAAATAACTTAAGGTGACACTAAACTCAGGAGTGACATTTTAAAAATACATTCAAGTACCTTAACTAAGGGCCCGTTCACACCAGACACAGTGCGTTCCGGCCCGATTCAGGCTGGAACGCACTGGATTGCATTGTGGCCGGCTCACTTTGTTGTGGGGCGGGAGGGGGGTGGAGGTCCATTGAAGTGAATGGCACTGTAGCCACGCCCTCCGGCCGCAATGCGATTAGCCACATGGGAACGCAAGTCACATCAATACCGTAGCCACCCTCCAGAAGGAACACCAATCCCTCCACCAATCTCTGGATTGGTGTCAGCACCAATCCAGAGATGATTTGAGGATCTACAGCTGAGTGATACACAAATAGGATTTTTATCGGGCCGGAACGCACTGAGGATTGTGTGAACAAGACCTCATAATAAAAATGTATCTTATTTGTGTATCACTCGGCTGTAGATCCTCAAATCATCTCTGAATTGGTGCTGACACTGTCCTTCCTTCTGGAGGGTGGCTACGTTTGTTCCCCATGGTCCCTGTGTGTGTTGTACAGTAGTCACCGCTCCAAGCTCACTCCTGTGATGGACTACAAGCTCATATTTAGTTTACTAATTTGTATTGAGTTTGTAGTCCACGGAAGTGATTTTGGAGCGGTGACTACTTTACAACCCACAGGGACCATTGGGAGCAAAAGTAGCCCCCCTCCAGAAGGAAGGACGGTGTCAGCACCAATTCAGAGATGATTTGAGGATCTACAGCCGGGTGATACACAAATAAGAAACATTTTTGTTAATAGTTAAGGTACTTGAATGTATTTTTAAGGTTTAACTCCTGAGTTTAGTGTCACTTTAACCTTTGGAGTGAACCTGTTCTCAAATGTAAATATTAATTTAAATGTTGAGTGTCGCTGGAATAGATTATAGTTGAATTCAGATCTGTGCAGTAATGCAGTGTGACACTTTGCCTCTGTAAAGGAGCTTTCTGTAATAAAGACCAGTCACTGCTCTCTCTCCTTGTGCAGGGTGACTGGTCTTGCCTACGCCCCTTCCTGTACTTTTATGCAGGCAGCCCGTAGTGTGTGGGCCAGTTGGTCCTGCCCACAGCTCTGCTCTTTGCACAGGTTTTGTACAGGACAATGATGACGTCACTGCTAATTTTTCAAGGTAGTATCCAGGTTTAGTAAGGCATTTGGTGCACACAAAGTGGATTTATTTCCTTTGCTATTGAGGCATATATTAAAATGAAAGTTCTTGTGCCCAGCATTTAGCTTTCAAATATTATAGCAGGGCAGCAATACTGATAGTTCCGGGACAAGATGCTGCTTATTGGTCCATGTCTAGGCATTTGGTTACAAAATCTCTACTGACGGAAGGGGCCAGGTAGCCTGAACTCCCCTTGCAGCTGAGGACACATAACCCCATTTCTAAGACAATGATTCACAAGGTGTCTTCTCATTGAAAAGAGGAATTGTCCATTTGCATAGAAACTTTTCTATGTTGGCTCCAGGTGACTTGATTCTTGCCTCAGTTATGCTTTGACCCATCGTATCAGGGATGGGAACCTAACCATTCTAAACTGTGCTGTCGTGTTTCAGCCAGTCTTGTGATTTACACACCTTTGGCACTGCAGAACTAGAAAGATCACTCTACTACTTCCTGATTCACAACTTTCTGGTCCACCTTCTTTCTCACTGGACTGAAGCGATGATGCTGATTCATTGTAAAAGTAGCAGTTTGATGGCAGAGAGATGATATAGGATAGCTTCAAACCTGAATCAGGAAATAGAGGTGTTACCTTCATGACTGTGCTCTGGAGCAAGGGGGAATGTGAATCACAAGATAAGCTGCACAGAATTACAAATCGTTTTGGCAGGTAAAACAGGAAACATATATGAATTTCAACTGTGTATTTGGCCATCTGCCTGAAATTAAGCCTTTAATTCTCCATGCTCTTTTGACCCCAGACTTTTCAGCAATCAGGTATATGAGGATTCTTGTATTTTTTATTCCCAGTTTTCTATGCCGGTCCGTAAAAGTGCCTCCTTCAGGACATCCAGAAGATACGAGCAGCCTACCATTGCATCTAAATCCCGCTCCCCTTCACCCTACACCAACAGGCGCATGTGTGAATTATCTGAAGACTCCAAACAAAGATTGCCCCATTTCAACCTGGGACCCTATGAATTCAAGAAAGAGACTGAAAACAAGCCCCTCTTTGTAGTCAGAAACGTAGGTGGAAGATCCTCTTTTAAAGTACTTGTTATCTTCATTCCCATGTAATGGATCATTAAAGGAGAACTATGAGGTGAGTGAAAATCGCTCATCCTCATAGTTCGAGCCGACGTGTGACAATTAAACTGTCACAGGTTGTCTCAATAGATCGGGAAGTGAGCGAACACATACCGTCACTCGCTCACTTCTCAATCATCTCCCTGCAGAGAGCGGTGACTGTCAGTCACGGCTCCTTGCAGGAATTCACCCCTCCCCGCTCCTATCCTCCAGCGCTGACTGGATGAACGTGAGGGGGCGGGTACAGCTGCCTCTGCTTCTAGATAAGCAGAGCCCGCTGTCATTCACGCAGCTGGGTGGATCTCGACAGCATTGGTGGGATCCGTCCCAACTGCATCGCTTTCAGATATACTGAGCTTTGGGTCATGGGAGGAGGTTAGTATATGTCCTCCCGTGACCCTTAAGAGAACTATGGGGAACAAGACTTACCCCATAGTTCTCTTTGAAAGATATATTGCATATATGCAGTTTATTTAGATAAAGTGAGATGTTTCTGGTGTTTAGTAGTGATCCAACAATACAAAAGCTTATTTGACTGCAGTACTTTCTAATTAACGTGGACCTGAACTCACACAGTGAAGATTTGCTATGTTATAGGGAACATCTAGAAATGTTATTTGTACACTGAAAGGTTGACCTCTTGTTTTAAATGCCTCTTAAAAATAGCAGTGCAGCTTTTTGACAGCTTTTAAAGGCCAGCTCTTCATCAATGGACTTAGGTTTTTGAGGGACAATGGATTGAGGGAAAATCAGATCGCCTGAATTGCATAATTATTCTAGTTCTGTGACTTAGAAAGCATTGAAGCCAAAGGGTGGCCATGAAAGACAGGCAGCTAGCATTTTCAGTGGCACATTGGCAATGATAGCTTACAGATTTCTCTCGTGGGTCCTGCTTTAGAGGATCGGCTAATATGCATATTTGCTATAATTCCAGGGAAATACTTATATTTAGAAAGCTTTTACTGCTGATATTACAAAAAATGTGTTCACTTGACCAGAATCCTTTTACATTGTTTCTTTGTTGCAGAAGGAGGCAAGTCAATCGCCTGACAAATCTATGCTGTCATGTTACACCAGAGGAACCCTAGGATCACACGAATGCTCAGGGAGACACAACGGTAAGTAACAGCATTCTACCACTGGGAAATGTTGTCGCTGTGTAATACATGTAACACAAACTGCCTCTTTGGCAGTGTTAAGTTTGATATGTCTCTTATAGGAGGCTGCTATTGCTGGCCTCTGCTTCTTAACATGCCTGGCTTCTATTCAATCCCCCTGATCTCATTATGTGGAGCCATTAACCTGGAAGAGATATGCAGACAAAGACTGACAGTGTTCTAAATTTGTCTCCTCTGCATTTTTGTTTGAAGGAGAACTATGAGGTGAGTGTGTTTCACTCACCTCATAGTTCTAGCCGACAGGGACAATGACACTGTCACAGGTCGGTTCAGTAGATCGGGAAGTGAATGAACACATACCGGCGTTCGCTCGCTTCTCGATCCTGTCACGGCTCTCTGCTGGATTCCACGCTCCGATCCTCCAGCGCTGACTGGCGGAACGGACGGGGGAGGGGGCGTGTACAGCCGGCTCTGCCTCTAGATAGGCAGAGCCAGCTGTCACTCACGCAGCTGTGCGGATCCAGACATAATTGACTGCGGCATCTCAGTATACCGCGAGTTGTAGCTCACGGTATACTGAGCTTAGGGTGACGGGAGGACGCTAGTTTGTGTCCTCCCGTTACCCTAAGGAGAACTATGGAGAAAAGCCCTAATCCCATTGTTCTCCTTTTAAGTTTAGAGACTTGGAAAGTATAAAAATCATTATAACCAAACAGCTGGCATCAGTAATGGCGCCTCCCTATTTCTCATGTCCGGTTTACTTTACAACTTGCTGAGAGGTGTTCCCCAAAGCAGACTTGTACTAAGCAGAATTGTTTAAAGTGTATCTACACTTCTGGACAAAATTGTGGACACTTTTGAAAAATTTCGTAATTGTCTTATTTGGAGTAATATATTTACTTTGAAAAATGCTGAAACTCATCATGTTATGTATCATTTTATTCAAAAATAACTCTGAAAACAATTTTATACTATTTAATATTACATTTTTTGCATTTAAAAAATCAGTGTCTGCTTGGCTTAAGACTGGGTTCACACCTAGGTTTATCGAATATGCGCGTTTGTCGCGCGTTTCGTGCCGCAATTCGCGGTAAAAAAAACGCGCATTTCCGAGGGCTACCAATGGATAAGCGCGGCAAATATGGCCCAAAGAAGCTCCTGTACTTCTTTGGGCGTAGGGCGTTTTGCAGCGCGTAACTATGCGCTGTAAAACGCCCAGGTGGGAACCATGCCAATAGGCAATCATTGGTTTTCACATGTTGAGCGTTTTACAGAACGTAGGAACGCGCTGTAAAATGCCCAGGTGTGAACCAGGCCTTAGAAGCAATTACAGCTTTGCATATTTCTGGCATATAATGCACTCCATTTTTAAGGTCTTCTGGTGTAATAATATGATTGCAGCACTATTATAGATTCTATGAGTTCTCGTTTTTTTCTTGGTCTTTCTTTTCCAACATCATATTTTCAGTTGTGCCCAGAGGATTTCAACGGGGTTTCGGTCCAGGCTGTTTCCTGGTCAGTCAATAACATTAAAAGGATGGGATGAACACCGGCCCTTTACAGTTTGGCTAAAGCATGGTGGGGTATATCACTCCAAATTAAACAAATCCCACACTTTTCTAAAGTATCCACCATTTTGGCCACTAGTGTAAAGCCAAATATTTTTTTTTTCTTTCATCCCCCGCCACTTTTTTTTTTGCTGTCTGTATGCCAATGCAGACATTTCTCTTCACTACCTGTCCCAGAGACACAACAGGAAGTAAATATTTCTAATGTAGATGGAAAAACTTGTCACTGCAGATTTCCCTTCACCTCCCTTTCTCCTGAAATGTTGGATTTCACATCACTTTCTGTTCCAATGACAGTGGTCACCCGGACCATCGCTCCCAGGTTGTGGATGGGCCCTCATTGTTGCCCGGTACCAGGGGTAGCCAAACTCCGGCCCTCCAGCTGTGGTGAAACTACAAATCCCATGATGCATCTCTCTCCGGGAGTCGTGGCTGTGAGAAACTTGCAATGCCTCATGGGATTTGTAGTTCCACCACAGTTGGAGGGCCGGAGTTTGGCTACCGCTGCACTGTACAATGCAGGACTACTAGACCTGCATTTTATGGGATGATGTCAGAGAGCTGTAACTGGTCAGGCATTGAAGTGAAGAGTCTTCAGGGGACTGAAGAGCAAGGGATACGGTAAGTATATCAACGTATTCATCATCCATGCTTGCAAATCATGCAGCTAACCCTTGCAATGGTAAGAGGGACCCACTGCAAAAGACTTTTTATTCCTGGAGTTCAGCTTTAGAGAGATTCTCTCAGTTGGCTCTGTATGGGGACAGCGTCTCTATACCTGATGAATCATCAAGGACTCATCATCACCGAAGATCTTCCTACGCTGGCAAATGTGATATGATCACGTTTAAGAAGTAGGAGAGAAAAGTAGACGCAAACTTGCATAGATTAGTGGAAGAATTTGCATATTTAAACTATATCCAGCAAGCACATACTGCTAAAGAGCCAAGGGACTACCTACCTTTCCGACAGTCTGTACTAGAGACAGCAAGCAGTGACATGGAAGTCATTAGGAGAAGCCAGTGTGAGCTGCAGGGAGATTACTCCTGGAGGTTTCAGTTGGCCAGCGGTAAGGACAGTGGAAAAGGTACAGTAAGTATCCCCTCTGCTGTTTACAGGTATGTGCTTTCTGTATATAGTTTACGTAAGAAGTAGGTTTTTTTTCTTTTTTGGGATAGATGGGGTAATGCAGATGAAGTCACAGATCTTTTAGGTGTAGAGGAAATGAAGGATTCTAGGTCACTCTTTGAATGTAATCAACAACACAAGTTTCTAATAGATATAAAACTTTAAAAAGAGTGCAGATTGTTCTATATTTTCTTTGAGGTCTTTTTGTGGAAAGCGGCATCATTTTTTGTTTTATTAATAAGTGGCATAGGTCAGTAACCATGCCTCCCCCCTACCGCAGACGATCATCAGCCAGTTTTTCAACCTTGGTATCAGGACACATGTCTGTCATATCAGGAAATAATTTAGTGTCAACCAGGTGTGTCCCAAGGGCAAAGCTTTGATGCGGTTCCACATGAATCTGAGTCATTTCATTTCCACGGAGCAAGGCATGCGAGTGAGAGCTGGTAAATTAGAAAAGTGGGCGTTGGAAATATCCTGTCAGGCTGCTGCTCACAGACAATGCTAGCTGATAAAGAATAAAACAACCGGATGATTCATTTCCCAAGTCTTCCGAGCGTTTCCAGTTTGCAGTTGGCCCCTACATGAAACTGTATAGCGCTTGGAATATAGCGGTATATACTTCAGTTGTGATTGAACTTGGCACATATTATAGCTCTGCATTTCGATGCTGTCACATCACTGCTCTTCCCCCTGATGAGACAGTGGGAGTTAGAGCAGCACATAGAAACATGCATTAGAGAGATTTCCCCGGTGACTTCGATTATTCAGCACAACAGTACGTGAGTCATATGATACTTTGTAAGTTTCTATACCTGGAACATTTGAGCAAGTTGGCTTTGGATTAAAAAGAAAACTACAGATAAAACACAACATTTAGTGGCCAACTTCAGCCAAAAATGTTTTGCTCGTTTAGTGTAGTTGAAGCATGGAAGGGTTAAAGTGGACCTTTACCCCCTTTCACTAAAAATCACATCAGCATGCAGCTCTGCATGCTGATATGAAATCATCTTACATTAATTAGTTAAATAAACACATTATTCTTTTACTTACAATTATTATTTTTACACTTCTTGGTCCTCTTGGGCATTAGTGATGTAATGTGCCCAAGCATTGCATCCTCGGAAGGTTACATCAGCAGAGCATTGCTGGGAAATCTCATCTGTAATCTCATGAGATTTCAGGGAAAGGCTTTTTTCTCCCCTGAGATGCTGTGCATGGTCACATGTCCTAGTCACATGTGCCAGAGTTCCAGGAAGTAAAGGAAGATATATTAACCACTGTGAGAAGCATGGGGAGGAAAAGAAAATGTCTGTCTTCCTGATCTGTAACATCAGGTTGACCCTCTTGTCTTCCTGATCTGTAACATGAGGTTGACCCTCTTGTCTTCCTGATCTGTACCATCAGGTTGATCCTCCTGTCTTCCTGATCTGTAACATCAGGTTAATCCTTCTTCTGTCTTCACTTGAAAGGGTCCTTCAAAACTTGTACTTGATCATGCTTCTCCAAGCATTGATATTTATTTCAATTCCACATACTGTGTGTTGTTTTTTTCTAGTGGCTCTTCCCACCCCTCAGGTGGAAAGAAAATTAAATTATTGTTTGTACCATGAAATCTTTCTCTTGGAGTCCAGTGAGGGACACAGGTCCCGTCTCTCTCTCTATATATTTTCGCCTAATGTACTGCTTGCTGGCAAAACCGAGGTATGCCGGTTGGAGGTGGGTTATATGGTGGCTGGCTTACTGTTTTTTGGTTTTGCCAGTCTCAATACCGCCTGTAGGTGGCATTATAACCCAGGTCAAAGTTTATTCTACAATCCTGTGTCCCTTAATGAACTCCTAGAAAAAGATTTTTTGAGAAGCATAGAAAATCTTATTTTATCATGACTGTCAACCATACTTCTTGCGCTCTCTGTTTTTACAACCTCCCAGACTTTACCCTGAATGCCACATCAGGGCCTATCGTACATCTGGGAGCTGCTCCCTTAAGAGTTGTCACATAAGTTTGTAACACCCAGTCCGGATTCCAGCGCTCCATCACCTAACTTCAATTCTTCTCCATTTGTATCTAAATACATCACAGGAGGTGAGAAGAAATCTCATCTTTGACAGATGTCAATGTAATAGATGTTCACATGTTAGATTTCCCCTGGTCTAACTTTAATTTCTGATTTTCCCTTCCCCTAAAAAAAAAAAAGAAGCTCACCAGGACAGAAAATATGCATACATCTCATCTTTATGTTACTTGGATACTTTTATTTTTAGAGAACTTAGAAGTAACATAAACTTTTTTTCTTGCAGATCTTTCAGCGTTGGACAGCTACTATAGATCCTCGCATCCCCGAGTAAGTATATGTGCAAATGAAACCAATGAGTGAACCTGTCTATAGAAATGTAGATTAGAGTCCCTAATGCAGTGGTTCTCAACCTGTATAACCTCATGTCCCACAGTTGTCCTTGGTCATTAAGTCGCGACCCAAGTCGCATCACACTGGAACACATGGTACTGTGGTACCGCATGTTCTGGTGCAAGCGTTCAAACTGGACGGGAGTTGTGTTTGGGGTGACATTCAAATGAAAGGCAACGCAACGCACCTCCCGCACCAGAACAAACAGTAGGTGCGATTACATGGTAGTTTGAGATTAAAACACTGACAGACACACACAACCACAGACACAATCTCACACACTCACAGACATTCTCACACATACACACTCCAAAAATGTTTTAGGGGTTCAGTGTGGGCTGCTGTGCTGTGACGGAGCTCCATCCATATGTGCATCGCTTGTGCAGTTCCCTTGCACTCCCTGTAGAGGTGCTGAATGTGACGTCACTCTGGTCACGCGAGGGAGTTTTAAGCAATACACGTATGGATAGAGCTCCCTCGCGGCCATACCCCCAGCCCACCCCACATCAAACTGACATTCGCCACCAGGCAGCATATTTTGAATGGCTGCTGGGCACGAGAACTGACAGTGCTGCGCTATGGGGGAGACATCCCAGGAGCCCCGTAGTCAATGCTCCTTAAAAATGACAGCTGCCTCCTAACTTTTGAGTTTGCTCTAGTCTAGTAGCTTGAAAAGTATCAGTACTTGTGCCAAGTACTTGGTATCTGTGCATCCCTATCTAAAATAATTAGCGGGTCTTTTTTATTTTGCATTTAATAAACAGATATGACAAAATGCTTTCAATTGTATATGTAACAGACCAAAAGAGAATGCATAAGAAAAGTTCATTGTTAGGGTTTACATACACTAAAAATATATTTTTCTCATTGCCTTCTATATGCCTTTTTTTACAATGATTAATTTTGAGTTGGACTTTACATTTTAGCTCAGGAAATACGATGGCACTTTCACAGTGTCTCTGTGTAGTCAGTATACAGCCACATCTTACGGGTGATTTGTGATACCATTGCGGTACAAGCCACATTCCTGTTAACGCCGCTCATTAACAAAAAGAGAATTTAGGATGCTGCCAATCTGCCGGACGTGCATTATTTCTCAGAGGAACTCATTCCATTTTCCACTGGCATCATCCATTATTTTGTAAAGTACCTAGTTATTGATTTTTGACTGGTCTCATACTTCATTGTGATGTTAGTTTAGTAGAAACAGCAATGTGCCACTTCGCTCTTCGACGACCCCATGTTCCTGCACATTGTGAAATTTGCAACAGGAAAACAAAGGATGAATGGTAAATTAATAATAGTGTTATTATTATATTTGTAATATTTAAGCTGACCTTTAGGGAAAATTGAAGGTGTGCTTCTTTTGTAGCACATCCCACCCAATAAGAAGTTCTGAGTTAATGAAAAACAATGAAAACTAAAAATTCTAATTTCATGCCATGTCTTCCAGTGAGCTTGCCTAGGCAAGGGTAATGTCACTGGGCCTTCTTCCGGGATTCTGGGAAATCTGAGGATGCCAAATATCTTCTGCACTGTGGTGGAGCTATAAATAAAATAAAGAACCAACATAGCGTCTCTCCCACACCGGCGCCACTCATGCATTTCACAACCTGGGCTTAGTGCATTTCACAACCTGGGCTTAATCATAATCATGATTAGGTCCAGGTGGTGTGATGCGTGAGTGGCGCTGGTGTGGGAGAGAGACTATGTCGGTGTATTTGCTATAATACATTTGACTTTGGATTCTATTTGGAATTAATCACAATAAAGCTGGACTTTTATGGATACTAAAGGAGTGGGAGCACACTGTAGCCTGCACATGGTGTATGCATTGGCCGACACTTGGTGGTGGAATTGGAGCGCTGAGTCTTTGGTGCTCTTTAGGCTTCATGACTCTGCTTGACTTCCTGTGCATGGGAAATGTAAGATCTATGGGCACAGACAAAACCGGAATTGGATAGACCTAATCAATGGTAAATTCAGTAGGAAGATGAAAAAAAGTGGAAGATGGAATTAAAGATGAGTTAGTGAAGTTTAGGAGGATCTAAGAGACCTGACAGTTAGAAGATGGAGATTAAAGGCAATGGACATAGAGGAATGGCCTTCCCAGTACCCTTCTAGACCTGTAGTGGTACAGGAAAAGAGATGCCCTTGCCACAATCATACATATGCACCCTACATGCACTTTGGCTAGATGCTGATTAACCTGCTTGTATGTTATAGGAAGAATCCAGAACACTCAAACAGAAAGGGCCCCAGGTGGAATTTGATCCCAGGAGGAATTTGATCCCAGGACTCCAGTTCTAGCATGCTAGCTATTGAGCCAATATCCTGTAACCCACATACGTCAATCAATAAAAAATTAAATTAACCAATACGTGGTTGCCATGGGTGACCATGCATCTGGAATTTGCACTGTATTTTTAATAGGCACTTGAAGGTGCCAGAGAGTGATTTAGTGTCTGGAGAGATGAAACAAGAATATGCAATCATCTCACGACAGACAGAGTATATTAAATGATTTACTTCATTACAGAATATTGACATGTAACGCTCCAAGACTTGACAGACTTTTCCCCAGAGACTGAACAATTCCCGCTACCAGCTGATTGCACATGCTTGTTTTCTGTAAGTTCTCTTCAAGCTCATATCCCGCTTGGAATTCTGGCATGTTCCTTTGCATGCAGTGATTCATACACGTCCATTGTTCCCAAAATAGCCAATGTAATGGAAAACTGTAACATTTATTCACTATGTGCACATTTTAAGTTATTGAAAAGTGGAACTCCAGCCCAATCCTTTGTTTAGGTTGGAAAGCATAGTGCAGAGTCAGAGCCAGTGTCATATTTTTATTGCTGGCTGTGTCCCTATTGGAAAGATTTTCACTCACTTCCTGCTGTAAGTATCATCAGTCTCTGAAACAGGAAGTGAGAGGAAATCCTCCTAGCAGGGGCACAGACAATAGTAAAAACCTGGCTGGCAGCCATCTAACTTTTTCAGGCTTTAATGACAAAAAAAAACAATTGACTGGACTTCTTAAACCTAAAAAATATATTTTTTTAGCTAATTCACGTGTCATCATTATTTTCATAATAGCTTTTCTTATTCTGCTTGTTAAAGCCCGAGCAGTGAGTCTGTAGCCTGGCTTAACAACTGTTGAGATAAAACTTAGGACCTGTTGTTTGTATTGTGTTCAGTCAGTATGAGATATCTGATAGACCGACACAATCCCTGCACTCTTTGCGTGCTACAAAGGAAGCACACAATGTAAAAGCAGGAAGCAAATACAGCTGTCCTGGTTACATATAAAAGTAAATGCCATGTCTAGTTTTTCCTTAAAAAAATGCAGCTCAGGGCTTAGTAAAATAAAAAAAGCAGCTTTTGATGCAATGCCCTATCACTGACTTTCTTCCGAGTTGAATGACACCCAGTATGATTTAACTCGCTTCCCGTAAGCTCAAGACATTGTAGCAGTGTGTGGCAATACCACGGTGTAATTTGGCTTTATGGTCACCCAGGGATGGTTCCTGTAAGAGTGCAATGTGTCCCTTCTATTTGGGTTATGGTGCCTTTTAAGGGGGCAACCAAGTGGTAACTGCCCTGTAGGTGGAGAGATGGAAAAAGAGGACATTTCACAGAAGAAAGGGTGTGTGTGGTGGAGTCACAGGAGAAGTGTGGAGTAGCAGGAGTCACAGGAGAGGTGTGGAGTAGCAGGAGTCACGGGAGAGGTGTGGAGTAGCAGGAGTCACGGGAGAGGTGTGGAGTAGCAGGAGTCACAGGAGAGGTGTGGAGTAGCAGGAGTCACAGGAGAGGTGTGGAGTAGCAGGAGTCACATGAGAGGTGTGGGGTAGTAAGAGTCACACAGGTGTGAGGAAAGCCGTTTGGAGCTACTGAATTGTACAGAGCACTGCTATGGAAGCAGATGTAGTATCGTATGTTGAATTAATGAAAGCAGAAAGCTGGAAAATTTAGAAACTATGGACACTGGTATTCACAATGGCCATCCAAGAGCAGAGTTGGTATCCGACCCTGTACAAAAGTTTCAAAATTAACGGCTCAGAAACATTCCTCATCCCCACAAAGCCTCTTCTACAACATGGACCATAAGGAATATGTTGAGTCGTATAGCCTAGTGCACACAAGCTCTCAGTAAAGTGAGTGCTTCAAGCTGCATTGTGCCTTGGTGAGATGATTAAGGGCTATAGCATGTGACCATGTTTGACCCTGCAGACCTTATTGTCTTTGATTCACAGCTGAGAGATTATCTGACAGCAGGATGGAGCAAGGGTCCAGACACAACACTCTTTGGATGTTCTTCTGAATTGAGCTGGTGATTTACATTGCAGAAATAATATGGACACTGACAGTCTTGCTAAAAACATGCTATCAAAAGTGTATCTAAAGCCGGAACTTTTTTTTAGTTTTGGATAGAGTATCGAAGGGTTAGAACCTATGTCAACTGTGTGTCCATATCGGGAAGATTCACCTTCTCCATTAGTCTTAGTGACTTGGGACATGCATGGGCTTGGTGTAAGCCAAGTTTGTCTAAGCCTGTGCAAAACTGTCAGTTACACATCGCCCTTCTTGGCCCAGTCAGCTGTGGCTGGGGCCCCTTTGGTTGGAGAGGATTGGACGTAGAGGTGGATGTTTCAGTAACAGTCTTGCTCAGATGAACTCGGTTCTCTCCAAGCCCACACACATGTCTACTATTGACTATGGTCACCGAGACTGAAAGCGAGGGAAAATCCAAAAGTTTGAATGTTAATGCCACAGGAATTGAGGAAAAGGCTTGCCACTGGGAGATTTCTTTTCACTTAATGTTGTGGTATACAAGATATGAAATAAATGGAAATCTCCACAATGTGATACTGATTGGAAACAAAAAAAACTGACAAGGGTTTTATTTATTCCCTAACCTATCTAAAACTAGAAAAATACATTTGGCTTTAGGTATACTTTAAATGAGTGAACTTCTGCATATGCAAATGCTCTTTTCTGTATGACAAATTATATTTAAATTAAGCACAATTAAACTGCAAACAAATACACAGTTTAATCACATATATGAAAACTCTTTAAGGATTTGTATTTCTGTCCATCAGTGTCTGAAATTTACACAGCTCAGCCACTAAGGGAAGTGGGAGTGAAAAGACCTGATCTTTCTCTGCTGCAGTTTCATTCTCACTTACATGTACTACCCATCCCAGCCCTGTGACTGGATAATTAAAAGAGAAGCAGCACACATACAAGCTCATCTCTATGTCACTCAGCTCTTTCCTTCTATCAGCATGCTGCTTGCACTGCAGCACAACTGATTGGCTCCCTGTACTGCTTCTCCATTCCCCTCTCTGAACCCTGCTTTACAGTCGATTGCAGGACAGGTACGAGGTTAAATGCAGCCTCATACACCAATTTCATTAAAGAAAAATATACATTCAATGATTCATCAATTATTGCAGAGCTGCATTCATCTGGCCTGGAGTTTAGCTGAAAGCTCTTTTTAAGAATAGAGTTTAGAGCTTAAATGTTTCTACCATGTGTTTGTATGATCTTGTATGTATAAATTCTATATATTTGTGTTTGTGTGTTGGGGTGTTCAGAGGCCTAAATCTTTGGCCTGTTGGCGTCTTTTACTTTCAATGAACCAACAAATGGAAGGCCAAACTTAGGTTTGTGTCGGTAGTGTTGTTTCAGCATTCAGCCACCATTACTTTAAATTCCAATTTTCTTGTCACGCTGCCTCCAGCCTCTCGCCGTTAATGATAACCTCATCGGGCTTCAGTATATTTTTCCGTTCGCCGAGAACGCTTTATATAATTTACTTTGCTTGGACTGTCCTGATGATTCACGACTGGTTTATCATAGAGATTTTAATTAAAATTGATTTGTTTGAAGGGGGGAAAAAAAAGAGCGATATTAACAATGGGAACTTTTGGGCCCTGCCAGACAGCCACGGTCGGTCTTCAATTCATCATTCCCCGTATGGCCCAAAGCCGCCGAGCGTCCCCGCAAACCGACGAGAGATTGAAATCAACCTTTATTAGCAGCTGAAAACAACGGCACAGCTTTGAAATTAAACGGAAAACGTGTTCGGAATGAACTGGCCGGCATCAAAATTCTGAGAATAAACAAATAAACCTCATCCCTGGCAACTTCCTGATGCAGATTGGATTCTCTTCAAGTAGAAAAACGCCAGATATCGATACGCTGATGCTGGTTTGATTAATGGCTTTTTTTTTTCCCACCCCTTCTTTTTCATCTGTGCTCAGAAATCTAAATGACTTCCTTCATAATTTCCATTCCTCTTGCTCAGGCACAGCCTAGAGCCAATGATTTTCTTGCCTTTTTGATTTTTTTTTTTCTTTCTTCCCGTGTAGGTATTTGAAGAGGTGCACTGGACGACGCTGTGCCAAAATATCCTGCAGACTTATTTTTCAAATTCATTTACAAGTTGTGTTTGGTGGCGCAAGCTTTGTGTTTAATTTATATGCAAGAGGCAAGGTGTGCTGGCTTGCTTCAGTTTTTTTTATGTCAAATGGAAGAACAGATTTTTTATTTTTTTTTTTAAAGGACAACTTCGCCCAAAAGCGACATTTCCTTTGTAAGTCAAGTCTGGTGGGCTGAATCACCCTCTGGGTTTTTATATGTCTTGAGGACTCCAACGTTGATATGCCTCTGCTAAAGTTCTTGGCTTTGTTCCTATTCACCAAGGGGTTTTGTGTTATGCCAGGCCACTATGTGTCTTTTCACTTCTCTCACTGGATTCTTTACAGTATTCAATAAATGGCAGCTAAGCAAACTATTGCTAAAGCCTGGCTGTCCTCCCTTTTACATTTTTCCGAAACGAAAGCCCGTCTACCCACAGTGTTTGTGTATGAAAAGTTGCGTCAAAAGTTATTGACGCAATGCACAAATTCAATAGAATCTGGGATCCCTGAGTCCGGAAATGTCTTCCGCCCCATTTCGATGCTGACTTAGTAACAACCTGAAACGTTACCACTTCTCTAGACCGTGTATCATTGCAACTTGCTACAGACAACGCATGTCTGACCCTGAGTC